TATTTCCCTAATTCTCTTCCTCTACCTCCTGCCTCTAGTGCTGCTAGTCTATTTCCCTAATTCTCTTCCTCTACCTCCTGCCTCTAGTGCTGCTAATCTATTTGTACTTGCCCTTCTCCATATCTCTTCTTCTCTGTTAGAGTAAGGAACAAGCTTGACAATCTCAAGCGCAGCAAGTGGTCGGGCACCGTGTACAACCTGCAATTGTATGTTAGCAAACTCTTTGCTACACCCGGGTGGGAAATGACTGGACAATCATGCTTGGATGTTGTGAAAGCTACGATTCTCACTACTTACGCACATCGCCCAGGCAGAGATCTCATTGGATATATGGACTGTTTTTCCCTCATTCAGGATGTAATCAGCCTTGAGGCATAGGACCTCGTCTCCACAACAGGGGGCAAGAAGCCCATAAGCGGTAGACGGTTCAGAGGCAGCAATCGTCTCAAGGAGCTTAACTTGTTGGAGGCGAAAGAGGAGGCCTATGCAAATGACCCCACTCTTGGTGACGACCAAGAACAGGACACTGATACAACATGTTCCTCTTCAGCCCATGAGTCTGATACAAAGAAGAAAAAATCAACCTCTTTAAAAAAACTGCCCACACAAAGGGACTCAAGCAAGAACTTTGTGCCACTCCCCAAAGGAGCCAGAATCCCGTGCAAATCGGAGAACGCTGCAACCAAACCTTGGGTTGATCTCCGGATCAGTGAAAATGATTGGAAGGTTAGGATCAAGAAGGGAGGTTGCCTTCATTGCCAGAAATTGGGACACAAAGTCCAGGATTGTTATAGGCTACAGGTGAACCAAAATTGGCCGTAGATTTGTGGTCAGCACACTCTACAACAAGGGAGACTGAACCGGTAAGTGGCAGTTCCTCTAAGGAACCTGATTCAGTTTGGCAGTCCTCTCTTGAAGTCCTATCATCTGCAGAGTCCAGGGCTAGTACTTGCCATGTTCTTTATGTTGAGCCTTGGGAGGAGTCTGAGAAGGTTGACTTCCACCATCACCTAGAGCATCGGGCTGAGATGAAACAACGACGTGCTCAAGGGACAACGGAGTTGGTGATTGTTGACTGTTTTTCCAAGTTTTTGAATCTGATCCATTGCCAGCTCACACCCCAAGTGACCTTGTGATTCATGAATTCCACCTGAAGTACATTATGCAGTATGGAACTCCAATAACCCTTGTGAGTGATCGGGACCCCCGCTTCATAAGTACCAATTGGAAGGACTTCACTTCCCAATGTGGTGGTATCAAACTGAAGATGACATTTGGTCGACGCCCCGAAGCCAACTGTGAGGAAATCAACCAGACTGTGATACAGCTTCTCCGCGCTTTAATTATCCGGAACCGGGAAACGTGGGATGAAGAGTTGCATGCGGTGAAGGGGTTGTACAACAACTCCATTCACTCTTCCATCGGCATGGCGTCGAACAGGCTGCATTTCGGTTGGAAGATCCGCAACCCTCTCTCCTATTTGTTCACTGAACGGCTGGTCTGATGCTTGGCTGGCCTGGCTACTATGCCAACTATGATCGCTTGCTCAAGGTTGCTGTTGCAGCAATGACCAAGCGACAGCATGCCATGATCCATTATGCCAACAAGAAGCGCAGACCAACGAATTTCAAAGTGGGAAGCTATGTCTGGGTAAAGATGTCTGAATTTTCAGAAGAAGAGGGGGTGTCATGCTACTGTGAGGTTCTGAAGGTGGTAGCTGATCATGAGTTCGGTCCTTCATATGCGATTGACGTGCCTCCTTATATACACACGTACCCAGTCTTTCACGCGTAAGGAACTAAAGAAACCAATACTGCTACAACTAATTCATCAGCTAATAATCTTTGAATTCTCAACAAGAGAGAAGTTAAATTCAATGAACTTACTTCTCTGGACTGCCCCTTGTCCCACAGGGAATTGAGTGAAGTTTTCTCTATGCTAGACTCTTGAAACTCGTATGTCTTCTATCAATGGAAGTACTTCTAGTACTGGCATAGGGCAAGCTTCTACATATTTATCTATAAGATCTCGTTTTGAAGTTCTATTACCTACCAAACCAGGATTGAGTTAGGATTTGTATTATTCAAAAAAGAATAAAAAACATTGTTTTGAATAAAATTCATAAGTTAAAACTTCATAAATAGACTCCCTCAGGCAATCAATGGCAGTCAAATAGACAGAATTACAAGCCATACTAGTAAGGGACGTAACAGACAGTACCAGTTTCATTTCACGTATCACTCCGGTGGATTATCTTTATTGGATATCAAAGAAAGAGCTGCTGCGAAGCGCACCTCGCGTTGTCAAAGCATATGAGCGAAAGATAGTTTCCGATGTTGTTCCAGCCATCTCTGCGAAACTCACTGCTACCGATTATAAATGAACTCTCTTTGCTATGTTTGCTTATGATGTGTTTGTCAGGGGCTCAGATTGAGTTACTTGCTCGAGGGACCTTGCTCTTGAGGGGGGGGTAGTGTAAAGACCTGCCAAAACACAGCCTGAGAACACAACTGATTTCTGAGTCTTGCTGCGGGAAATGTATGCCTTGCTGAGATTCCCACATTTTGCTGAGTTTTCTAAGTCTGTACGTGTGCGTGCTTGCCGGTCTGTGTGCATGTCTGAGTGCTTTTCTGCGTGAGTGTGTGTGTGGCCGGCAAGGGCACTTGTTTGTTTTGAAGGCCCCGCAGGGCCAATACTTACCTGTGGCCGTGACTTGGAGGGTTGCAGCGGGGAAAACACTCAAGTAGTGGGGAGTAGGCCTGTGACAATTAGGGCAGCAGGAAAACACTCAAGTAGCAGGTAGGTCGGTACCACTCAAGTAGCGATAGATGTGTCAGGAACCAGAGGCCGAGCAGAAGAAGACAAAAGTTGGCATTTTTAGAGGCCCAGTAGCGGTAGGCTAGGTCTAGGCGGGTACCAGTCCAAGTAGTCTGTAGTCTATGGCCTGTGCGGACGATATCAGAGCCTGCAATGATGTTTCCCTCTGAAAGGGAGGAGGTACCGATTGCTTGCAGGCCATGCGGCCTGGAAGTCACCGCCCAAGAGGCAGGTTGGCCGCTATATCTCCAGGCTGCGTGAGAGGCTTAGCCTCAGTTTGCTGCGTGCAAGTATGCCAACACACTGCTGGAGCGCTGGTTGGAAGCAGCACTGTGGGGGCCGCTATATCTCCAGCCTGAGGTAGAGGCTCAGCCTCAGTTTGCTGCGTGCAAGTATGCCAAGACACTGCTGGAGTGCTGGTTGGAAGCAGCGCTGTGGGGGAGGGGAGCGCCCAGCTCTCCACCTTGGCGATGGTGGAGATGCTCGGGTAGGAGGAGGAGGAAGAAGGGGACTAGGTGAGGGGAGCGCCAGGGGTACTTACCTGGCTATGGTGGACACCATCTCCATCACCTTGGTGGGCGCTGGCTTTTGGCCTGAAAACGTCACGGGCCTGAAAATGGCCCGTGCAGCCTGTTGCAGGCACAGCATGTAACACAGAATCAGGCATGACGGTCTGAGAGGAAGAGGCCATAGCTGTTTTGCATTGTCTTTTGCACGTCAGGGCAAGGCCCTTAGTAGTCCGCCATAGCCTCGGCCTGGATGAAGAGGGAAGAGGAAGACGGCCATGGCTATGGTGGACCTCAAGTTGTGCTGGCAGTAGAAGACGGATTCGGACATTGATTCTGGTTTTGCCATTCATCATTATTCTTATTATTGACTGGTTGAATAAGAGCGGAGGAGATCAGGAGTAGTAGTTAGTTGGCTAGAAGAAGGGAGAATTATGATCAATTATCATTGGTCTTCTGCTGGTGTACATCTTCATCTTCTTTCAAACTCTCTCCTCTCAAGTTCATTCATTTCTTTTGCAATTGGACTGCATTGTGCGTTCTCGTGAATTTTGCACTTCGAAATTGGCCAGGATTGTAACACGTTGTGCTTTTTTGTGCATTTTCTTTGCCTTAGGCCAAGCAAAGGAGTACTTCGACATTGATTCATTCAGTGTAAACTCAGGCATGCATTTTCGCCTCAATTTGATGCCCTCTGAGCTCCCGTCTTTTCTTTGTTTTCCCCTGTTGTGTATCTGAGTAGGCTCTCAAGCATTGCTGGATGAAAAGGTGCTGGATGCTGGGTGACTAGACATCCATTGAGATGGGAAGAAGACACAAAAAAGATTAGCATGGCCTCCACAAGGATGACACACAAATCCAGAAATTGTTGAATTATGTAAAAAAAAGGAAAGAAAAAGGATGCAGGACGACTGGGTCAAATAGCAGGTTAATGAGGTGAACCCTTTCTGTGGACTGTCTCTTCGGGCCTGTGGCTCAGGAAGCATGCTACAACTCAAGGCAGTATTTTCAATATTCAAGCGATTGATCAAGGAGAAAGGAGGTGGATACAACCAAGAAGAGGGGACGGGGATAGATGGATTTGATGCAGCGCAACTGAAAGGAAGTGCCAAAAAAGATCTCCTAGATGAGATCGGAAGGCTTCGGCTACTGGTAAGCACATTTGCTGCTCAACAAATACTCAGCCATGCAAACCATTAACTACTCGCACACGGGCCCGCGCCCGCGCGTGTGTGTGTGTGTGTTTTGTTAAAGCACCACAAATTCTCTCTCTCATTTCCTCCACAAAAAAAAAAAACATCCATAACGAAAAGGTATAGATAGACAATATAATAGACAATGCAAGGTTGGTGCAATCAGACTCAACTTCAGACGTGCTCACAACATGCACACTTGAGAACCGATGGCAAAACCAAACTCTTCCAATTCAGAAACAACAATGAACTTGTATTAAACTCAGTCTGAATCAACTGTACAACTTGCGGCTATGGGAGCCGAACACTGTCTCTACCACCAGCCTCACTCTCCCTCACCCTCACATGCACGCACGTACGAGGATCACCCTGAATGTCCATGCTGCACAAACACACACTTTGTACACCCTGCACCAACAGCTGGGCGGCTATGGCCGCCGTCGTCATCCTCCCCCTAGCTATGGTTGCCGGTGTCTCCCTCACTGGTTCACTATGGCCGCTGTCTTCTTCACAGCCCACTTCTTCTCCGGGCACCTTCAGTCCACGCACAAGATACCAAGGCAGCTCTTCCGCATGGCACACAGGCGAATGAATGAATGGCTGGACACTGCCTCTTTATTTATACTTCTTCAGAGGTACCCGGGCCCTGCCTCAAAACGTGTGGGCCTGGGCCAAACGTGTGAGCAGCTGGGCCCCAAAACGCGTATTCTGGAATCTTCTCCAAACGCGTGGGCCTTCCTGTTTCCCCACGTGCAGCCTCCACCCCTGGTACTTGCTGACTGGACTGCCTACAGGGACCTACGACCTTCTAACTTACAGACAAACTCTAGGCCTCAGTAGACTCAGATAGAGACTTCTAGAACAGACCTTCCTAAGCCTAATGGTTACAGACCTAACTCCTAATTTACAGACCTAGGGATCAAGTCCTACTGTCCGACCTACAGACTAGCCTAGGACCTAGGGCAGGTCTAGGGATCGAATCCTACTCAGGTCACTGGGTCTATGTACAGGTATAGGATAGGTCTAGGGATCGAATCTCACTCAGCACACAGGTTCAATATACAGGGTTAGGGCACAGGTCTGGGTATCGAATCTTTGTGTCTGCAATGTCGGGTCAACTGGGTGAAACCGTTTCACTCCCGCCATCCTAAATTCGAGGTCCTCCGAGAACACTCTAACTCAAGGTAGGACCTTTGCCCTTTCTTTCCCTCTCATAGGCGTGTACTATGTCGGGAGCGGATTGTAGAAGCTCTGTTCTTGTAAACCATTAGTCGTCCTCGGGTTACTGGTATGCGAACCTAACGTTATACTGTTTCTGGGGACGACTGCGACCTCCGGTCCTGAACACATCTTGTTCCACTATGTGATCTATGTCATATGCACCATCCATGTCTGGAGGAATCATTGACCTTCGGGAAGGAAATCTGTCGGACGTGGTGCAAGGCAGCAACTTAGACGCATGGAAGACTGGGTACATGTGGAGGTGTGCTGGGATTTCTATTGTATAAGACGGGCCGTCCTCTCCTCCCTTGACTTCTAGGACAGGCCATGGTCCTCTATACGCAGGTAGGAGCTTCTGTGAGATGTTTTCCTTTGGTGCGAACTTCTTTGACTTGACCCAGTCTAGATCACCTACCTGGAGCTGTGAAGGTCGACGGTGCTTGTTAGCTTGCTCTATCATCTGATGCTGGGCCTTTCTCAGATTGTCTATGACCTTAGCGACTTCCTGCTCGTGCTGCAAAGCGAACTCTCGTGTGTCGGGTGGTAGTCTCTGTACGTGGTCCCGATTTAGTCCCTCAAACGGTCGCCTAGGTCTAAAGGACTTATGTAGCTCATTAGGAGTCCTGCAAGTAGCTAGGTGGGCACTATTATTGTAGGCGCTTGCTACCTTGGGAAGCATCTCATCCCAAGTTATCTGATCTGGTCTATTATACATCCTGAGTAGCTGTTGCAAGATCTTATTCATTTTCTTTGTCCGGCCGTTTGTCTCTGGGTGTCGGCCTGATGACATCAACAACTTAGACCCATAAACTTTCATAAGATCCTGCCAATTCTGACTGGTAAACCGTGTGTCCCTATCACTAACTATGGACAACAGCATGCCATGCTCGCTTACCAAGGAGTCGAAAAACTTACTAATGACTAAGTATGTGCATGCCTCTGAAGGCAGGGGAACAAAGACTGAATACTTTTAAATCGGTCTACTATGACCATGACTTGAGTTTTTCCATGCCTGCTTCTGACCCCAGTATCCATGAAGTCGATGGACACTGAATCTCGGGGTCCTGATGGAATAGGCAAGGGCCTAAGAAGACCTAGCGGGGCTCTTGTTGTAGTCTTGTTGCGCTGGCATACCTTGCAGCTGCGCACATACTCTATGCAGTATGCTTTCATACCTTGCCACGTGTATGACATCATCAAGTTAGCTAAAGTCTTTTGTCATCCAAAATGCCCTTTTGTATCGTGGCATTCCCCTAAGATCAGGCTACAGATCTCTTCATTATTGGGGACACATAGTCTGTCAGCAACATTGGTCTTCTCAGCCAATTCGTGGTCCGGTAGTGTGGTTCACTGTCTAGGACTTCCTTTACTCTTTTCAGCAGTTCACTGTAGATCGGGTCCTGTGCATAGGCATCTCTTACTTTCTGTTGTAAATCGGTCCCTATGTCTAGATAATGCACTATTGCGCCGAACTAATCAGATATCCTACTAAGCGCATCAGCTACGACGGTATACTCTCCATTCACGGACTTTAACTCAAAGTCATACTAGTCTATCTCAGCAGCCCATCTAGTAAACTTGGGCGTCATTTTGGCCTGTTTCTTTAACCATCTAAGAGTCTCGTGGTCTGAGTAAACCTTGAAGTGCCTCCCAAGCAGGTAGCGCTTCCTGTGATCTAAAGCCTGCCTGAGAGCATAGAGTTCCCTCTCATATGTCGATGTTGCGACTTTCTTTGAGGGCGGCTTGGCGGACATGACCTCTACGGGTCTATAACCTTTGTCGTCATCTTGCTGCAAAACGACACCTATGCCATACTGACTAGCATTTGTAGTAACAACAAATGGCAGTGACGGGTCAGCAACTTTGAGGACAGGGTACTCTATTAGAGCCTTCTTTAATTTCTTGAAGGCTGACGTGCAATCCTGACGAACTTCCTATAGTAATTAGTCGATCCTAGGAATGAACGTGACTTTGTCAGTGTCTTAGGAGTTGGCCAGTCTCTGATTGATGCAATCTTACTGTCCTCGGGCCGAATACCGTCTCCGTCTAGTACATGGCCTAGGTAAAGGACCTCTGTCTTGGCCCATTCACACTTCTTCGGGTTAATCTTAAAGTTAGACTCTCTTAGCTTGCTTAAAATCTGCCACAGATGGACCTCATGCTCCTTGAGGGTCTTGCTGAATACTAGGATATCAATAAACTACGACGAACCTATCTAACCACAACCTAAACAAGTCATTCATGCAGCGTTGAATGATGGTAACCTGACTTCAGATCTATCTTTGAGAAATACTTGCATCCATGCACTCGATCTAACAAGTCATCTATACGCGGCAACGGCTCTGCATTCTTAAGTGTGATGGCGTTCAGTCCCCTGTAGTCTATACACATACGTAGTTCTCCCTCTTTCTTTGGGACGAATAAAACAGGTGCGCCGAAAGGTGATGAACTAGGCCTTATCCATCCTTTCTCTTGGAGCTCATCTAACAGTCTGCGATGCTCCTCTAGCTCCTTGGGAGACATCCTGTAAACTGCTCCCTTAGGCATTCTACTGCCAGGTTTTATCTCTATGCGGTGCTGGATTGGTCGGGGCACTACTCCTGAAGGTGCTTTAGATAAGTCTTTGTACTCTTCCAACAAACTGGCGATAGAAGGATGGATCTTCTCTTGTCATAAATCGGCCTAACATAGGCTACAAACACCTGCTCTTCGAGCTGCTCCTTTCACACGAATCTGGCGAATGTAGGAGCGTTGAGGCAGCAATGGGCAAGGGGGTTATCTACCCCAGACTCATGGTATAGGCGGACTTGCTTGACTTCGCCTAACGGACTAGGGAGCCTGCACTCGTGCTCTCTAAGGTGCAAAGTGGCTCCTCCTGCCTCTCCCCAATCTATGCCTAATAGAATGTCAAACGGGAGACTCGCTTCCACGAGGAGGGTCAAGGAATGCAACACCTTCCCTTCTTTCTCTAGGTGAAAGTAGGCGTGGACCCCCTCAACATACTCTTCAACGAGCATTCTATTGTTGTCTGCAAGGATACTGACTACAAGTTCTTCTAATCGTTGGACTTTCAGATTGAGCTTCAACTTTTTCATCTCTTTACGACTGATATAACTCATAGTCGCCCCACTGTCTATCAGGGCTCCTACTCTACCTCTAAAAATCTCTACGTCTGCGAGGATAAGTTGTCCTTTCCCATCCTTCTTCATTTTGGCCCAGGCTTGCCTCCTCTCTCTCAACTCCTCAGCAAAGCCTATGAGGGAAGCGTCTAGAGAGACCCCAACACAAGCAGTCTCTAGACAACTTACTGGACGTCGGCCTGCAACCTCTGCCATGGAGATATGTGGAGTGGGAGACTCTACTTCGCGTGCACACTCAGATCCACATACTCCTGGGGTAGGGGCAATTCCGACCCCTACTGGCCGCTGTCTTTTGCTGCCCCGGACGCAGCACGGTCCCTATACTTAGGACATAATTTTATGACGTGGCCTGGGTCCCCGCAAAACACGCATTGAGACCTAGTGATGCGTTCTTGCCATACTTCTTGATCTGTGCCCAAATCTAACCAGGGTCGGCCTTCGGGCCGGCCTGGGTGCCACCTTCCCTGTCTGGGGGGTGACCGACTGGAACGAGGACGGTTCGACGGGGGCCCTCCCCTTCCTCCCACTTGGCAGTTGCCGTTGCCTCCAACCCCCTGGCCGCCCTGTCCTCGTCCACCTGGGGCCCGACCATTCTGGCCGGACCGTTGTCCTCCTCCTTGCAGCCTCCCTCCGGCCACGACAGCAACGTAGGTTCTCCCTTGTGCAGCGCTATTGTCCTCCTCCTCTAGTCCCCACTCAATGTCAGAGTAGGGAACTTCCTCATCACCACCTTCCTCCATTGTCATAATCAACCTATCTTTGGCCTTAATTTGGTCGGAGATGGTGCGTCCCTTCCACGTTTTTCCCTTTGATAGATCCTTGTGCCAGAACGTGGTAACTAGCAACGCTTGGGCGGCACATGCAATTGCCTCCCGACTGAGAGTATTGTAAGTCATGCCCTGCTGGTTCTTCTTGTCGAAGAAATGTCCCTGAATATTTTCAGGCAGGGCACGATAGAAGAGGTTAAGTAGTTGGGCATCAGTTACTCCATGTCCAGGAACAACAATCAGTTCATCCATGGCAGACTTGAGGGCATGCACACTCTTCCATTGGGGTGTGTGTATCATGTGCAACTTGTCGGAGGCTTTAAGACCCCTCGTCACATCTGAAAATCGCTCCCTGAGTGATTTCAGGAACTCAAAGAGGGGCTCCGTCTAGAGTAGGTAACCGTTTCGTTCTCGTAGTTTGCAGCGCGGGCGAGCGACCTAGCAAAGCTGGCCTCCTCATCTCGAAGGGCCTGGAAGGCCACCAAAATGTGGTCCTCAAGCGTGACTCCCTGTAAGTACAGATAGGACTGCACGTTGGCCTCCCAATTGTCAAAGTCCACCCCCTTCTTTCCACTGGAGGGTTCGGGGAAACAGGCCTTAACTTTCTCGCAACGTGGTGGGGCTGGCTTCTCTTCCTGAGGAGACGCTAACTTGGCACCTTCAATGGCGCTAGTGCAGAATTCCTTCGTCTTACTAATCGCCAGGTGGACCTGGTCCACCAAGTACTTCATCATATCGCGTGCAAAGTCTTTAAATCCAGTGCGTATCGCATCTATCTTTACATCCTGACTGTGGATGTACTGCATCTGCTCGCGATGTGCAATTAGTAGGGATTATACACTTTGGGTCAGGCTCTCAACTTTGGTAGCTAACTCGGTCTCAGCCCTGATCATTCCCATCCTAGCCTCTGCCACCTTTAAATCCCTTTCTGCTTTCTCTGCCGCCTCCAGATGCCTAACTTTCTCTTGGGACAAGTGCCACTTCCATGCCCTCTGCTGTTCCTCCTCCTTCGCCCTTCTCCTCACAGGGTCCCTTTCTGCTTCCAACTCCCTTCTTGCTGCTTCTCTCTCTGCTTGAGGTATGGCCAACTCTGCTTCTCTATCTTCTCCCAATTCCAGATGTGCAGCCCATTCTTGCGTCATCCTTTCTACTTGCTCCTCTTTGCTTGTACTGGTTTCACCTCTTCTTCTTTCCAATGGTTCTTCTTCTTCTACCTCTTCTTCTTCTTCTTCTTCTTCTTCTTCTTCTTCTTCTTCTTCTTCTTCTTCTTCTTCTTCTTTCTCCACCTCCTCTTGTATAGCCGCCATCTTCTCCTCCTGCTCCTTCGTCCATTTCTTCAGGTCCTCCTCCATCTGCTTCTTCTTTGCCTCTTGCTCCTCCAGGAGGGCCAACATCTTGGCCTGCTTGATCAATTCCCACTTCTCCATCCTCTCCTTCCTTTCTTGCAGAGTGGCGGCAGCTCTCTCCTCTTGCTCCTGGCTGTAGGGGGTGGTGCTAGTTCCAGACCTGAGGTCCACCATGGTGATGGTGCACAATCACAATGATTCCGCGGCTCAACACGTAAACCCACCAGGTTATCTCGTTTCTAGGGGACTTCTACGCACTACTCGGGTTGGACTCACAACTCTACAATCACATCCACAGAGCCCTATCGACCTGGACCGAAGTGACGGGGAGATATGACAGACTTGACGTCCGCAAGTACCAAGGTGAAGGTGCACATCCATGGGATAAGGGGATAGGCCAGGGCTTGGAAGGATGGTACCTGTAATCGTCTCGCTCCAGCTGGGTCGACGCTCCGGTCAACGGTCTTGGTCAACGCTCCTGGTCAACCTCGGCTAACACCCGGTCAACGCCCTTGGTCAAGTCTCAGTCAACGTTGGTCAACACCCGGTCAATGCCCGTGGTCAACGTTGGTCAACTCTTCTGGTCAACCCTCCAACCTTCCGGCTATGGTGGACCTTCTTCTTCGTCAAAACCTTCGTCTTCTTCACCTCGGCTATGGCTGACTTTGTCTCCCTCTTCGTCACTTTCTTCTTCCTTTTCTCTGTGTCTATCTCTTCTTCTTGCTGGTCGTCTTCTTTCCTGAGCTTGGCAGCTATGGCTGCCGTCCTCCCTTCTCTCTCTTCCTCTCTCTCTCTCTCTCGCTGTCTCTCTCTCTTTCTCTGCCGAGCCCCGGCTATGGCGGCTTCTTCCTTCTTCTTTGCTTGCTGCAGCTCTGCGGGCGTGGACAACGGATACCAATGAAATCAGACTCAACTTCAGCCTTTCTCACAACATGCACACTTGAGAACCGATGGCAAAACCGAACTCTTCCAATTCAGAAACAACAATGAACTTGTATTAAACTCAGTCTGAATCAACTGTACAACTTGCGGCTATGGCCGCCGAACACTGTCTCTACCACCAGCCTCACTCTCCCTCACTCTTGCATGCACGCACGTACGAGGATCACCCTGAATGTCCACGCTGCACAGACACACACTCTGTACACCATGTCTGCACCAACAGCTGGGCGGCTATGGCCGCCGTCGTCTTCCTCCTCCTAGCTATGGCCGCCGGTGTCTCCCTCGCTGGTTCACTATGGCCGCTGTCTTCTTCACAGCCCACTTCTTCTCCGGGCACCTGCAGTCCTCCACGCACAAGATACCAAGGCAGCTCTTCCGCATGGCACACAGGTGAATGAATGAATGGCTGGACGCTGCCTCTTTATTTATACTTCTTCAGAGGTACCCGGGCCCTGCGTCAAAACGTGTGGGCCTGGGCCAAAACGTGTTAGCAGGTGGGCCCCAAAACGCATATTCTGGAATCTTCTCCAAATGCATGGGCCTCCCTGTTTCCCCATGTGCAGCCTCTACCCCTGGTACTTGCTGACTGGACCGCCTACAGGGACCTACGACCTTCTAGAGCCTACAGACTTACAGACAGACTCTAGGCCTCAGTAGACTCAGATAGAGACTTCTAGAACAGACCTTCCTGAGCCTAATGGTAACAGACCTAACTCCTAATTTACAGACCTAGGGGTCAAGTCCTACTGTCCGACCTAGAGACTAGCCTAGGACGTAGGGCAGGTCTAGGGATCGAATCCTACTCAGGTCACTGGGTCTATGTACAGGTATAGGATAGGTCTAGGGATCGAATCTCACTAAGCACGCACTTTCAATGTACAGGGTTAGGGCACAGGTCTGGGGATCAAATCTCTGGGTCTGCAATGTCGGGTCAATTGGGTGAAACCATTTCATTGGCCACATTTGTGTGGTTCAGCGCCAAGTGCCCAGACACCCGTCTGCCGCCGAAGCGGCACACTTACATTCAAACATATATTTATTTGATCCATAAAAGGGTGGAGGGCAAGAAGCAACTTACCTAAGACAGAGGACTCCACCAGCCAGAAAGCACCGACTCCATCTGCCATAACTCCGAAAAAACATGAGAGCCCTTCCCGTCGGCCCACAAAACCACCAAAAAGCATACCACAAAAGGCTCCACTAACAAAAAAGCATCAACCACACGTGCGAATGGTCTAAGAATTTTTTTTGAGCCCTCAGCGACGGCCTACAACGCCTCAACAAATCTAAAATACACCGCAGGACCTGTACGCAACACCAAGAGTGCCATGAGCTTCCCCTTGCCGTGCAACCCGCAGAATCAGATGATATCCTAGGGCTACAGCGAGGCCACTGCGAGTACTATGCCGAATTCCACAAGATCTCCACGCAACACCAGGAGCGCTACTGCTTACAACACCCTAGATGCTACCCCATAGAGAGAGCAGCCCATGGGAATGACACCCACAGCAAATACTCTCTGAGCCTCCTCGCAGAGATATTTTGTGTGTGTGTGTGTGTGTGTGTGTGTGTGTGTGTAGTAGTAGTAGTAGTAGTAGTAGTAGTAGTAGTAGTGCATGAACGAGGCGCAAATAGCACATTACACAGATAACACGGGATCTAAACCTTGGAAAGCTTGAGGATAAAGACAGCCAATTGACCAACTAGTTGCTTTTGAGCAAAATACAAGAGCAAATGGTTCATTATCAGACCATTTTTCAACCAAGCAAGCAGCACCTATCAATCAACACAAAGTTTTCATTCAAAACCAAATCAACAGAATCACAGACAGGGCTTGAGAAGCCGCAAATCTATGATGCAATGAACCTCATAATTCCAAACCCACTTGAACATGCAAGGTGAGAACATTCACAGGAAGTTCACACCGCACCAGAGAGATGACACATGAACCAGCGCCAGATATGTTCCCACTCAAAATATGAGACGTTTGTAATTGGAGAGTTCAAGTAACCAGTGGCAGTTGCGGCAACTCAACACTGCAATCCTGACTCAGGTATGTACTCAACTCCTCCTCCCTTGATGTCTGGCTTCCCTCTCTCCTCCCCCTATCTCTGCTCTCTTCTCTCGCTCAAGTCTTCATCCACTTGACCTCACTGCGCTCAAGCTCTCCCTCTAGGATCTGCCCTGAATACAACTGTGGTGTATTCCCTGAACCTCTGTGGTTATGGCCGTCTCCTTCTCCCTAGCTGTGGTAACCAGATGTCTCCTTCCTCGCTGGGCACTTGCTCCTCTCCTCGTGCCCCCTCCCATCCATGTCGTACTGTTGCAAAGTAACCCGCAGTGCTTGCGCAATTTGCGCATGAATAGTTGATCCTTCCTGCTGATGATGCTGGGTTTTTATACTTGCTGATCCGCCTTCCAGACATCTTCTGTTGGTTATGGGTCGTCTTTGTTCCCTGCTTCTGGAAACTCACGGATTCTTCTTGGGTTTGGCTGCTTGCGTGGATCAACTGACACCTAGCCTAACGGCCCTGGTAATCCTGGCTGAAGTTGTGATGCCTCCTTAAAGCCCTAGTACCTTTGGTGCGTGGGAAAATAGGGAAAAGTGGACGTTTTCCCAAACTCCTAAAGTTTCTGAGGCCGGGCCCGACAACTGCTGCCATTGATAAATCTGATCGGCGGCCGTCGTTTCGTTTCGGCTCGGCCTCCGAAAAGGTCGGAGACCCAACCGAGGCCCGCTATTTTCCCACGCGCCAAAGGTACTAGTGGTTGGAACCCATAACTGCCGAAGGACTTCCTACCCATAACTGCCGAAGGACTTTCAACCCATAACTACCGAAGGACTTCCTACCACGATCTACTTGACTAGCTCACCTAGGCCTCTGCAATCATGGTACAAATGAAAGCTACTCTTCTAGAGTATTCGTGCATATTGTACAAGTGGCTGGAACCACTAATGGAACACAGAATGGGACTCGGGATTAGAACCTGGGACTTAGGAATGGGACCTGGGACTCGGGACTGGGACTTTGGACTCGGGACTGGGACCTGGGACTCGGGACTCGGGACTGGGACTTGGGATTGTGGCACAGCCTGAAATCATTTCAGTCCCGCCGGCGTAATTTTGAGGTCTTCCGAGAAATATCTTATCTTTACCTGTCTATGATGTCAATACCCCTTTGGGCACGCTCATAATAGGACACAATATGAGGTGCAGTCTCCATCAACTCCTCCCTAGTGTACCAACGGTCATCTTCTGGTTCCTGATATGCAAACTGAAGTTTGTATTGTCGCTGTGGTCTACCCCCTTTTCCTGTCCTGTAGACATCCTCCTCGAGAATTTGATCTCCCATCCATGTCAAAAGGGATCATTGATCTGCGTGAAAGGAAGCAGTCATTATTGACATAGGGCAGCAACTTGGACTTGTGAAACACTGGGTACGTGTGTAAGTGCAAAGGAATGTCAACTGTATAGGAGGGACAGTCTTCGTCTCCTATGACATCTAAAATCTCCCACAGTCCTCGATATGCAGGTAGAGAAATGTTCTCTTCCGGAAGGAATTCTTTAGACGTGACCCAGACAAGACTTAGACTGTCTGCGGTGCCTGTTAGCTTGCTCTACCATCTGATGCTGGGCCTTCCGGATGCTCTCAGCAACCTTCCAAACTTCCTTCTTGTAGTCGACAGCAAACTCTCTAGTGCCAGGTCTCAGCAACCTTCCAAACTTCCTTCTTGTAGTCGACAGCAAACTCTCTAGTGCCAGGTGGCAGCCTCTGCGTCTGATCTGGATTTGGGCAATCTATTGGTCGTCGTGGTCGCCACCCCTTGTGCAGCTCGTTGGGTGTCCGGTTAGTCGCTAGGTCCACCGAGTTGTTGTAGGCACTAGCTACCTTTGGTAGGAGTTCATCCCAGTCTACCAGATCTGGCCTAATGTACATGCAAAGCACTTGCTGTAGTAGTTTGTTCATCTGTTTTGTCTGTCCGTTAGTCTCCGGATGCCTGCCTGAAGACATGGTCAGTCTAGACCCGTAGGTTTTCATAAGCTGTTGCTAGTGCTCACTGGTGAATTTAGTATCTCTATCACTTACTATAGTTTAGGGGTGGCCGGACTCTGCAACCCAGTGATCGAAGAATTTGCGGATCACTAATTACGTCTTGGCCTCGCCGGGCAGCGGAACAAAAACAGCAAATTTACTAAACCTGTCAACTATGACCATCACTTGAGTCTTACCAGTTCGACGCTTGACTTTGGTATCCATAAAGTCTATAGACAGCGAGTCTCCTGGTCCCGATGGTATAGGAAGGGGAGGCTGTTTCGA